CCCCCTCTGCCATTCTGGCTGGCTAATGATAGCATTCAAAATAGCTAAACACCCATCCATGTAGTATATCGTGTTGTTTTGAACCCGGTGACCCCAGTACACCGACGAATGTCATCACCGTTGCTCAACAGCTGGTCATCATGTTTTCTATAGAAAGATGTCCAGTACACATCTCTTGCAGACCTTCTCGGCTGTCGTCCAATGGGGCCGAGGGAATTGGCATATATCAAAATCAGGCACAAGCAGGACGAGGGCGCAATACAATTCAACAAATTAAAAGTATTGTGAAACTGTGACGTTATTGGGAATCACGTGGTTAGTTACTGCCAATAATGTATCTGTCAATTGCTCCCCCGACTCCTGGAAATAGGGATATGTCATGATAGTGTAAAATGGGGGGGGGGTATGTACCACACAAATATGCTCCTGGTGTGGAAATGGTGAGGCTTGTTCTAGAGATGCCTGTGCTGTGCCCTACATATCTTCCTGGGTGTTTCAATTGATTAGTGCATAAATATCGTTTTATTTTCCAGGGGGTCAGAGGTCGGGCCTACACGTCAACTCGGTATGTACATTTCCCAGAGCCGTCAATATTGTGGGTAATAGGCGATGCGTAGTGTGCGGCCATTGTTCGGACATCGGTCAGTTAAAGAAACTCGTCTGACAAGACATAAGTTTAAAAGTGTTTGTTTACATCCATTATAATCTATTACATGTACTTGACGGCTGCTGCTGTGACAGGGTTATATCGTCAACACATTGTGGGGTTGTCACCTGACGACAGCTGACATGCATACGTAAGGGAAACACCTGTGAGTAACGAGTAGTCACGACTTAGGCTTCAAAACACATCTAGAAGTGTTACAGGCGCGCCTCCTTGACGTGATGTCCATGCAAAACACCTTAGATAACAACAGCCAGTTATCAACAGCGCCCTCTAGCGACTATATGTGAACTCTGAACACGTGTATTGTTTCCGCTGAATTCCATATATGATCATCATCGTACAGTTTTGAGAAACAAGATTATTTTTATCTTGTTTTGTTTTTATGTTCTTCTTGTTCATGTGTAGAAACTTGGCTTGGTGATCTTTTACATGTAGACTGAAATTTACATGTCAGCTATTATCTCGATTTCAAACTGTCAGCTATCATACTGACTTCAGACTGAGCGCTATTAGTTTGATTTTAAACGTCAAATATTATCTTGAATTCAAACCGTCAACTATTATCTTGATTTCTAACCATCGGCTATTAGCTTGATTTCAGACGTCAGCTATTATCTACATTTCAAACCGCCAGTTATTATCTTGATTTCAAACCGTCAGCTATTATCTTAATTTTAGACGTCAGCTATTAGCTTGATTTCAAACCACCAGCTATTATCTTGATTTAAATCCATCAGCTAATATCTTGATTTAAACCATCTGCTCTTATGTTGATTTCAAATCGTCAGCTATTATCTTGTTTTCACCTTGTCAGTTATTATCTTGATTTTAAACCGTCAGCTATTATGTTCATTTCAAACCGTCGGTTATTATCTTGATTTCAAACATCAGCTATTATCTTGATTTCAAACCGTCAGCTATTATCTTGGTCTTAAACCGTCAGCTATTATCTTGTTTTCAAACAATCAGCTATTATCTTGATTTCAAACCGTCAGCTATTACCTTGATTTCAAACCGTCAACTATTATATTGATTTCAAACAATCAGCTATTATCGTTATTTCAAACCATCAGCTATTATCTTGATTTAAAATCATCAGCTATTATCTTGATTTCAAACCGTCAACTATTATATTGATTTCAAACAATCAGCTATTATCTTTATTTCAAACCATCTTAATCTTAAACCGTCAACTATTATTTTGATTGCTAACCGTCAACTATTATATTGATTTCAAACAATCAGCTATTATCTTGACTTCAAACCATCAGCTATTATCTTGATCTTAAACCGTCAGCTATTATCTTGATTTCAAACAATCAGCTATTATCTTCATTTCAAACCGTCAGCTATTATCTTGATTTCAAACCGTCAACTATTATATTGATTTCAAACAATCAGCTATTATTTTGACTTCAAACCACCAGCTATTATCTTGATCTTAAACCGTCAGCTATTATCTTGATTTCAGACAATCAGCTATTATCTTGATTTCAAACCGTCAGCTATTACCTTGATTTCAAACCGTCAACTATTATATTGATTTCAAACAATCAGCTATTATCTTTATTTCAAACCATCAGCTATTATCTTGATTTCAAATCATCAGCTATTATCTTGATTTCAAACCGTCAACTATTATATTGATTTCAAACAATCAGCTATTATCTTTATTTCAAACCATCTTAATCTTAAACCGTCAACTATTATTTTGATTGCTAACCGTCAACTATCATATTGATTCAAACAATCAGCTATTATCTTGACTTCAAACCATCAGCTATTATCTTGTCTTAAACCGTCAACTATTATATTGATTTCAAACAATTAGTTATTGTTTTGACTTCAAACCATCAGCTATTATCTTGATCTTAAACCGTCAGTTATTATCTCCATTTCAAACGTCAGCTATTATCTTGATTTCAAACCATCAGCTATTATCTTGATTTCAAACCATCAGATATTATCTTAATTTCAATCCGCCGGGTATTATCTTCATTTCAAACGTCAGCTATTATCTTGATTTTACACCATCAGCTATTATCTTGATTTCAAACCGTCAGTTATTATCTTAATTTTAATCCGTCAGGTATTATCTTGATTTTAAACGTCGGCTATTATTTTCAATTCAAACCATGAACTATTATCTTGATTTCAAACCATGAGCTAGTATCTTCATTTCAAACCGTCAGCTATTATCTTCATTTCAAACGTCAGCTATTATCTTCATTTCAAACGTCAGCTTTTATCTTGATTTCAAACCATCAGCTATTATCTTGATTTCAAACCCTCAGCTATTATCTTGATTTTAAACCATCGGCTATTATCTTGATTTCAACTCGTTAGGTATTGTCTTGAATTCAAGACTTTCTTTTGTATCATTGAGAATGTTCATATGATGTGTGTTTTAAATATGTTTTTCTCTCCTCAAGTTGTGACAGATGCCAATGAGCACAGAGGCAGTTGACCTTGATACAAGATACACATATACACAATACTATTTTCCTTAGACTTTATTATTGAATACGTGCTCAAAGGTTATAGTTATAGTTTTATTTCATTTTAAAATTGAATAGGTTTTACAACCAAATATATCTGTCTTGAAATTCATTTAAAATTAAAATCGTACTTTTATGGCAGCAAGTGTGTCACCATTACAACCTGTTACATCAAGCATTTGCGGTGAATGAATATTTAAATGAGCAAGAATGTGATCTTGCTAGTACTGTTACGTGATTGGTTTATTTTGCGTATTCTCGTTCAGTTATTCTACTTTATAATGTGACCTTTGACCTGACAATAAATAAATATATTGAGATGAAGCAAAAAAAAAAAAATACGAAAATTCACACCATGTACAAAACATAAAAACGGAAAAATATTTGTGAACCAAAAAACTGTTCAGGCAAGAGTTGGATATACATTTTCTTCATGTCTAAAAGATAATAAATTACAAAATATATGTACACGAAGTTACGTCCCCGTACTAGTTTCCTGCCATTTGGAAACGATTTTTTGTATCAATAATACATGTCTGAAAGCAAACACAACGAACGCATGAAATGTTTCATACTGATAAAAAAAATGGGCAGCAGCTTTGTTACTTTTCGAATATAAAATTAAAATGTGGTTCATACAATAGATGTCGTCTGCTGCCGTGCGTTTAACTACATGTTTATTGCGGACAGTGCTGAAACACGCGAAACCTTACCTTCATAGTAAATATCAGTGTATGTTGGTTCGGGATGTCGGTATAATAGTTAAGAAGGTAACAATAATTAGACAAAACTCGTTTTTATAGCTTGATAGTCTACTACACGAATAGCTGCCACTACTGTCCGGTCTACACGAGTTGTCTTTTGTGTTATTGACGCGGAGCGCAATCATTTCCACAAAATGGCGACAATTCTCTCGACATTTAACAATTCCAAAAGGACCTGTAGATTTGAAGCAGTCCATTGCCAATGTGAAGTGCTTATTTGCACGTGTGCAGATCATACATGCGCCGACAACTTTTACATTTCACTTTACAACACCAAATGAACTGACATTCGCATCTTTCTACGACCTCTTCTGGTATGGTGTTGTAACCTCGCCCACAGCACATTAAATCGCACCCTTCAATACCGTTCGAAGTCGCGTTGCATCGCCTCCCCTCGGTGCCGAACGAGCCTATTGACGGGTCGTGTTTACAGAAATTCGGCGAGGGCTCGTAGTAGATAAGGTCGGCAGATGTCGGTTGTTTGAAGTGATCGTACTTCGGGATCAATTCTTCTTGCCAACCACGCATCTCCTTGTGGCGAGTGACTTTCATTTCGGGCGCGCTGTCGTATTTTTCTTTAAGTAGATCTCCGAGTATTTTGAAGGCTGACTGTTGCTTCCAGCAGGTTTTTACTTCACAGCTGCCCGATAGTCCGTGGCATTTACACTGCGTTTCCATAGTTTTCGCAATTGTCTGGAAGAATGATAATAGGTAAAACAAATTATTAAAACGATTTTCTGTTAAGTGGAAAATATCACTTTTCACCAAAAATATTCATCAAAATTAGGAAATTGTAATGAAATGAACAAATCTGAGAGTGCCATTCAAAATGCATTTGCAGTGAGTATGTTAAGAAAAAATGTAAAGTTCACGTCGATGAACGACGTCGGACGAACAGTGATAAGAACAGCTACGCTTTGTCGAAGTAGTCGACAACAGTTGAGGGCTAATGTGAAAAGTAATAATACTAAAAAAAAAACTAGATTTTAACTTCACGTAAATTAAAATTGTTGTTTTAAATTAGCGAATAAGTAGACTACGTAACTGCGCATGCGTTTTAAATTAGCGAATAAGTAGACTACGTAACTGCGCATGCGTTTTAAATTAGCGAATAAGTGGACTACGTAAGTGCGCATGCGTTTTAAATTAGCGAATAAGTAGACTAAGTAACTGCGCATGCGTTTTAAATTAGCGAATAAGTAGACTACGTAACTGCGCATGCGTTTTAAATTAGCGAATAAGTAGACTACGTAACTGCGCATGCGTTTTAAATTAGTTCAGTTTATTATTTATCGAATACTTGAATATAATATCGATAACTTTATGTTGTTATAAATTTGCATACGATATGAAATATCTACAACTTTATGGTGATATCAGTTAAAATACGATATGAACAACTTTATGTTGATGCTAGTTGCCATACAATGTTAATATGGATAAATTAATGTTGATATCATTTTTTAAACGATATGCAGCCTGGACAACTTTATGTTAATATTCGTGTTTAATAAGGTGTGTTGATTTACGCATTCGACCAATCAAAATGTGTCTAAAGCATGCGCATTTACGCGTTTAATTATTTCATTGAATTATGCGTGTCACCAACTTCCGAAACAACTTTTTTTTATTTTGAATAAATATAATTTATCAAAAATGTTAGAACGAACATTGAAATGTATCAACCGCAACTCTTTGAATTGGTTATTACCTGTCTACCGGCCTCATTATTGTGCAAATTCATGACAGATCTAGCATATCTTGGATTTTCCTGAGGGTCCAGAAAATCCCGACTAAACCGAGTGCCATATCTGATATCTTCGCTACAACCTCCCCACTTCCAGCCTTCTTCCGGAGGAGGCTTTCTTTTGGAGTCACATCCACATGAAAGGAGTTCCCCACTGGCGCATGCTCGTGTCACTGTGTGAACAAGACCAGCAGAAAGGATGGCATGGACGAAAGCTGTTTCTCTTGAAGCTATAGGGAAAAGAAGGTAGAATAAAACAGTTAAAATAATAACAATTGCCATGGTGACGTCATTTTTCGGGTCATTTTAAGAAATAATTACAATAATTATAATGGCAATACAAAAAAATATAACATTACAATACCATTGTTAAGGACATTTCCGAACACTGACTGGTCGTTGCCAACTGTAGTACAGTTCCATCTACGACCTTTGAACTGGTTCTGACATTCCCGAATCCCAAGCTGTGCTCCTTCGGCAACACTCGGCATAAGTTCCTGATTTCTTCGACAAAACCGAAGTTGTTTGGACACCAGTCCTGGTATCTGGCCACAGGAAATCTCTTCCACGGATGCCGGTGAGTATGATACGCCTAACGCCCTACATTGAGAAAGAACGAGTTGATTTTAGATCGAGGTATGCCCGATGCCCCCAGCGAGTAATACAACTTTATCATTGAAAAGTAGCATAATAGTCACCTTATAAACTTGATTATTTACAACCCGAGTCTCTAACAAACCGCTGGACTGAATTGGTGTTCATATCAACAATTCAGTCGTTTTTGGAGTCCAGATAACCTAATAAATTACGTGTATTTTTGTGAGTGTACATGTATATATTAAAATTATAGTACACCCATTCAATACAAACATAGTACACATGCAAAGTAAACGAAATTATATCCAACATTCAGCCTAAATTTGTTTACTGACACTATATCTAATTGGCTGTGGGAATGGCAAAGATCTATTAAAGGGACAGTAGTTTTATTAACAATCTTTTATTTCCGATTTTTATATTAAAATAATAAAATATTTCCTGTGTCAGTTTTTAACGGCCATTGGCGAAATATGGACACTGAAAGAGTAGCATATACGCTCTATACCGACGTTGCACATTTAAAGCGCGGCAGTCGTCGCATTGCGCATTGCGCATGTGCGACATTTGTGTTGATAAACATTGATTTCCCCACAATCCAGTGCGCTCTTCTATTGGAAAGTTTGAGGTTTACCTGGGTGCGACTTTCACTAATTACCATCGGTGACTCCTTCAATACCTTCAAACTACCTAAAAAATACGTAATTAAAGCTTCGTAACGTCTCAATTTGTACTCGTTGATCTGCGCAACAGTTAAAGTCAACCCATATATCTCGCGCATGCGTGGCGCGACGACTACCGCCCTTTAAATTATTTGTAGGTGAAAACAGTTAGTTACACACTTGGCGGCGAATCTGTTGATTTAGCAGTGATATTTCAGGGCAGGGAATCTTTCAAGATTTGGACAATTTATTATGATGTTTCATCTCATTAAGATGAATGTGAGTTCCTGTAGGATGCTAAATAATATTTGTAACATAAAAGATAAAGCATATACAGTTCACGATAAAAAAAAA